TCTGCATCCAAAACATACTCCAAACCTAGTCATAGCCCTCCATCTCCACCACTGCTTCCACGGTTCCAGCCACCCTCGTTCCCAGGGATAACTCCCTCCACCCCCATAACAGACAGAGTACCCCTTACACTGACGAAGCAGACCACACCCGCTTTACCACTGCAGTGACTTCCTGTGCCCTTGCAGCTGAAATCCACAGCTGGACTGCAAACCTGCCCACCAGGTCCCTGCCCTCCTCCCCAGTTCCCTCTCATACTTGCCGATCACCTTGGTCCCTAGAACTGGCCAAGATTTGTCCTACCTGAGGCCCTTTGCCTTTGCTAGTTCCTGCTTGAAATACCCTGTCCCTAGTCCTTTGAATGGTGGAGTCCTTGTCATTCAGCTCTTGGTTCCAATGGCCCTCTTCAAAGTAGTCTTCCTGACCACCTTATCTAAAGTTGGCCACCTCCCACCTCCTAAGTTACTCCTTATCGCTTAGGGGGCATAGGTGCCAGCTGTCTATTGACTTATATGCTGTGAACTCTGCCCCTCATTCACAGAATGTGAGCTCCGTGAGAACAGGCCTGGGTGTGGCCAGTAGAATCTAGAAGAAAACCTGGCACATGGCACAGCATTCGTAAAGTATCAGGAGAACACACGAGAACCGCTGTCCCATGGCATACTTGGGGCATTGGCTCCCAGTCCCCAACACCAGTACAGATATCAAAATCCACGGATGCTCATGTTCTTCATAAAAAATGTTATCACATTGGAATAGAGCCCCTGTACATCCTCCTGGATATTTTAAGTCATCATTAGATGACTTATAATACTTAATACAGTGTAAAAATTTTTTGGGGGGGTGGTTACCGGGGATTGAACTCGGGTCCTTGGGCTTGCAAGGCAGGCCACCGAACCGCTGAGCTAAATCCCCAGCGAGTGTAAATGTTATATAGAGTTGTTATACTGTATCGGTTAGGGAATAATAACCAAAAAATAATATGCACGTGTGGACTACTGATGCAATTTTTTTCTAATATTTTGAATCTGTGGTTGGTTTAACCTGCAAAGGCAGAACCACTGTATATGTCTGGTTGTATTCCTTTCTTGTGGGAAAGGGCTTAGCCCCTCATGGTAACCACTGGACCAATAGCAGGCATTTGAATCTATGGAAGAGGGAAAGGAAGAGAGTGAACACAGAGAAGAGGAGAAGAAGGTAGAAAAAATAAAGTGAGCGAGAAATGGGTGGATCTACGGTATACGGTACTGATGAAGGTGACCCCTCCAACTCCCCAACATGCCCTACCCTTAGATGTGTCTGTTCCTCCTCCTTCTCTCCCTCTACCTCTTTATTTTCATTGCTGGCAGCCTCTGCTTTGGATAATCAGAGATAAGAGAAGTGGCCAACAAGAGGCTGTCATGGCTCGCAGCTTTCAGGGTCCACAGCCACAAATCTAGGCTTCCTTGTTTCACGCCCCCTGCAGGGTCCCCACGCCTCTCAGGACACGAGTCAGTGTAATAATAAAGGTCAGGCTCGTTCAGAAGAGATTTCCTGTCCTCAAAATATTCTCAACAATCAAGGGCAGGAATGGAACACACCCGGTCCTTATCACTTTGATAATTTCTTCAGGTTCCTTCTCTCCCTGGGGGCAGAGAGCGACAGAGCTCCTCACAAGCTACAGATCGTTTTGCTCCAGTGGCAAGCAGCTGCAGCAGGCCCACACGTGTTTCAGCGACTATCTGGCCTTCCTAAGAACAGAATCCCCTTCAGAGACCACGATCACTTCCTACTTATTTTACCTGTAATCACAGGTAAAATATAACTGAATATAACTCCTAAAGCAGGACAGTTTCCCAGCGGTGTTCAACAACCTCCTCTTAGTGAAACACAAAGAACATAAATCTCTAAAACGTACGGAAGCAAATGCCTGGAAGTGGGAAATTCTAAAAGACTGAGTGTCACTCTGCTTGAAGAGAAGCAATTAAGAGAAGACAACCAACAGGAGAGCTATAAAAAACAAAAAAAACCCACAGAGCAAAGGAAAGGGACAGTCATCTAAAAGACCCAGAGAGAAGCACTGCTTTGAAACGACTCGATGGGACATCTCAAAGGAAAAAGCTCAGTGATATTTTGGTATCCTTCATGGAAAACAAGACAGCCCAGCATTGGTGCAACCAGAAATCACAATGAATGAACAAGAGGAACTGGAAAAGAACAGAAGAGGAAGAATGGCAAAGAAAACCAAGGCAGAGCACATGATTCTGAGAAATTAGAGGCCAGAAGCTGGCTCTCATTTACTGTGTCCCTGTAAAAGCCGTACTAAGCCAGGCGTGGTGGTGCACACCTGTAATCTCAGCACTCTAGAACGCTAAGGCTGGAGGATCAAAAGTTCGAGAGCAGCCTGGGCATGTTAGCAAGACCCTGTTTCAAAATTAATTTTAAAAAAGCAGCGGGTAGGGGCCGGGGATTTGGCTCAGTGGTTAAGTCGCCTGCCTCGCAAACACAGGGCCAGAGTTTGATCCCTGGTACAAAAAAAATAAATAAATAAAAATAAAAGAGCTGGGGATGTAGGTCAGTGCAAAGGCCCTGGGTTCAATCCCCAGTATGGTACCACACACACACACACACACAAAAATAGCCCCACCTCCCAGATCATAGCACTCACCTCCTGTACTCTTATAAAAGGATTAAATGCAAACTATATTATATACATATATAAATATAAACATATTGGAGCTAGGGGTGTAGCTCAGTGGCAAACGCTTGCCTACCAGGCACCAGGCCCTAGGTTCAGTCTTCAAGCACAACAACAACAATAATAAATTATATAAATATCATATATAATATAAAATATTATTTTATAGGTACTTACTATAAATATATATGTATGTAACATTATACTATATATTTTACATTTCATTTTATAAATATAATATATGCCATTACATATAAACTGCCAGGAATGACTGCACACCCTGTAATCCTTGCACTCAGGAGGCTGAGGCAGGAGGATTACCATGAGTTTGAGGCCAGCCTGAACTATACAGCAAGACCCTGTTGCAAAAAAACTAAAAATAATAATAACACACAAATAAATACATATGGAACCTAAAAAAGAGTTGCCTTTTTGAGCGAGTAGGACAGTGGCTACCAGAGGCCAGGGAGAATATGGGGGTTGATCAGCTGGTACTAAATTACAGTTGGTTAGGAGTAAGAATTTTGGCATGTAGTTGGCATTGTGACTGTAGATGACAATTAACATATTACATATTTTACAAAGCTATAAGGAATTTAAAACTTTTCACCATAAAGAGATCATAAATGTAGGCCCAGGATTTAGCTCGGTGGTTCCGCAGCCCGCCTCACAAGCACAAGGACCCGAGTTCCATCCCCAGTACCAAAAAAAAAATCATACATGTTTGAGCGGATAGACAGATATACATAGTGCCTTGGTTCATGAACTTGATTCCTTCCGTGATTCTGGTCCCAAACTCATTTGGACAAGAACCAAATCAAATTCAGTGGTCAGGTTCAATATTGACTTACGGGGAAATTTGACTGGGTTCTCATCCAGTTCAGTTTGCAACCAGAATCATGGAGAGAACCGAGTTTGCAAACCGAGGTGCTGGGGTGAACAGAAGCATGACCGAGACCACCACAGCAGGCAAAAATGAAGCAGCGAGCAAGAGTTTATTTTCAGCCTGGGTGCAGGCTAGTCAAGGATGATAAAGCCATTGACCCTGGGGTCTTGGGCGAGGGGAAACTTTACAGGGGACTTTGGGTAGGGGAGGGGTAGTGCCAGGAGGAGTGGAAAAGTTTGTCCTGGAGTGGAGGAAGTCTTTTGTTCTAGGGCAGAGGAAGTCTGGTGGTCTCCAGGGGATCTGGAGCCACAGATGTTGCTGCACAGGGCAAGCTGCTTATCTGGAACCCAGGCCTTAGCTTCCTGTTATCCTCTGCACTTTGCAGGATGTATAACTGCATTGCCTGGGAAGTTTTTCTCTTCTGCCTGGGGGGATCTGACACGAGGTACCAGTGTGTTTCACCTGATTTAAATATTGCACAATGTATAACTAGACATGTTTCAAAACATTACATGATACACCCCATTAATATGTACAATGTCTGTTTTTATGTATCAGTTTAAAAACGCATTTAAGCCAGGCACAGTGACACACAGCTATAATCTTGGGAGGCCGAGGCAGGAGGATTGCTATGAGTCTGAGGACAACCTGGGCTACAAAATGAATTCAAGGCCAGCTTGAATTAAAGACAAGAACCTGTCTCTAAATAAATATATTTTTTTTCTAAAGCTTATGCATATGGGCAAGCATTCTACCTAAAAGAGATTTTCTGTATCCAGGGGCTTCCCCTAAATCCTGATCCCTATGCTCATTCCCAGCTTTAAATGGAATGTGTCCCACCCATCGGATCCTCTTCATCCCTCGGAGCCCCTCCAAAGGTGTGCCTCCTTCGAGAAGCCTCTCTTTCCTCTCACGTCAGGGAGGACCTTTCCTAAACATTATAATATACGAACACATTCTGCCTTGTGTGGGTCCTGATGTTTATGAAGGAGTGCCTGAAGAGCACACACGCTTTCTGAAGTCAAAGCCCACATAATTCTATTTATTTTTGTGTCCTCCAGAATGCAGGTAACGCTTGTGTCCAGAATGACTTTTTCAGCTGAGCTCTCTGACCATAAAGAACAAACTGGGTCTCACAAGCTTCAGGGTGATCGCTTGTTGGCAATGTCCCAGCTTCCGCATTCACTGTAGAATGGCCCTCCATCACCCCTGCTTCAAGGGAAGATAAAAGGCCCAGAAAACAGGAAGAAAGAAAAGAAGAACCACTAGCTGTCAGAGACAACAGAAGCCAGTGATTGATGGGAATTTACAAGGGAGCTAAAGCAAGTGTTTATGGCTTTGTTGTTGTATAACTTCAGGGTCAGCAGGGGCAATGAAAAAACGGTGATCAAGTCCACTGAGCCCCCAGGGTGACACATTCCAAACACACCTGGTCTCACCTGTATTGTGCTTGAAAGTGGCTTTGTACAAAGCTCTGACCTAGAGAAAGCTGAGCTGATGAGGACTGAAGGTTCTCAGGGGTTTTCCTGGCTTCAGGCAACAGCTGCAAAGAAACAGGAAAGGAAGCAAGATTAGATACTATCCACCTTCCTGGTCCAGAGTGGTGGCTTCCACCTGCATCCTAGCACTTGGGAGGCTAAGACAGGAGGATTGCTCCAAGTTCCTTAGTGAGTTCCATAGTGAGTTCAAAGTCCCTGAATGACACAGCAAGACTCTGTCTCATAAAACAGAGAGAGAGCGAGAGAGCGAGAGAGAGAGAGAGAGAGAGAGAGGGAGAGAGAGGGAGAGAGAGGGAGAGAGAAACAAAAGTGTGAGCCTAGGTGAACACCCTTCCCTGGGGATGGCCAGCCCCTGCTCTGACCCGTTGGGCCCTCCCTGACTGGATGCCTCTTGTATGTCCACTGGGGTGGACAATCATCACCTCGTGGGTCACACCAAAGCTCTCCATCCTCCACCTACTCAGCTGTTCCTGCCCACACTTTTGGCAAGCCAGTTTTCCTCTAAGTATGTCCCATTGCTCACAGACAAAGCAGGCTTAAATTATACAATTTGATATATAAACTTGCTTCATTCTACCCATATAAGTTGTGCTGTGTACGCTGGATCGCCTTGTATGGTAGTTCCCTATGGCTGCTGTAGCAAATCATTACAAATTATGGCTTCCAACAATAAATTCATTTTCTCAGTTCTTGGGACCATACATCCAAAATCAGTATTGACAGGCTCAAACCACTGTGTTGCCAGGGCCATGCTCCCTGCAGACTCCAGGGGAGGAACTCACTCCTTGCTGCTGGCTGCCCAGATCCACTGGCCTGTGGCCATGTCACTCTAGCCTTCAAGATCAGCATCTTCAAATCTCCCTCTGCTTTGTCCACATCACCCTCTCAGCCTCATTTAGAAAAACGCTCATTATTAAACTAATGTCCCACCTGGATAATCCATCTTAATTACCCTCCCTCAAGATCCTTAGCTGCATCACATCTGTGAAGTCTTTACCATATGTAAGAGAACTTTACAGGATGGAGAGCTTTGGATTTGGTAGCTTGGGGGTCATTTTTTTAGCAAGGCTACCTTGGAGCTCATGCCTGACCCAATGTCACCAAACTCCTATGGCCCCCTACCACTCCCGATATGAAGTACGCCAGTTTCTAGTTTTCCTACATTCATTCTCCACCCTTTAACCTATTCCCTACTCCCTCCACACACGGGATACAAGTATTTATTATGGCTTTGATGTGCAAAAATCTTCGTGCTTGAAAGGTCTGTATCTGAGGGCAATCCCTGAATCAAAGCCACTCATTATATAAAGCTATTTAGTAAAATACTGAGTTACCCATATGAGTGTTCACATGTGGCCACACAAAAAGGAGGCCCTAGAACAGTGGTGAAGAACCTACGCCATGCATGTTGCAGCAGACATTTATACTGCTGAAAGCTCTTCAAGGTTCATCGTCTCTGCCCAGAACAATGTTTCTCAGTTTTTTTCATCATCAAACACTTCAAGGAGTCTTTTCTTTTCTTTTTTTTTAATTAATGGTTCATGGGATTGAACTCAAGGTCTTCACACTGAGCTACATCCCCCAGCCCTTTATTATTAACTTTTTTTTTTTTTGAGAGAGAGAGAGAGAGAGTCTCACTAAGTCACTAAGTTGTCCAGGCTGGGCTCAAACTTGCTATCTTCCTGCCTCAGCCTTCCAGACTGCTGAGATCACAGGCATGCACCACCACACCTAGCTTCAAAGAGTCTTTTTAGACACTTTTTTTCCTCCACTCCCAACATAAGATGGTAATACAGATATACTTTGCATGTGTCTACGGGCTATATAAATATCTGTCTCCCAGGAACAATTGTTGGTATTTTGGGGTCTTCCTTGCTTCTGCGCTATCATCCCCATGAGAATGAAAGGACTTTCATCAGGAGACTGCACTGATAGGAGGGGCAGGTGAAGATCTGGGTGGAATTCAAGGTGAATGTCGAAGGGTATGAGAAAGCAAAGACTGGAACCAGGAAAAAGGAATGTGTGAAACACCTGGGGTAAAGTATACTGATGTGTACAATGTATTTCAAAATATATCAGAATAATAAGATGAGCAAAAATAAAAAAGATGGAGGAATAAGTGGATGGAGGAATTGAGATATGGCTAAGTATGGCAGATTTAGTAAAATGAAAAAATGCAGATTCTAGGTGGTAGGTATGAGTGCTCGCTCACTGTACAATTAATTCAACATTTCCATGTTATGGAATTTTTCATACTAAAATATTGGGACAAATAAATAATGAATATTTGGGATAGTCATTCTTATTTGTCCCACTATTTTATTGTGCCAAACTTGACTAGAATATAGGATATGCAAAGGAAAATTGAAAAACAGGGCTGGGAAGCAAGTCTGGTGTCACACTGGGTAGGATTTCCAAAGTCCCAAGGAAGACACTGTCCCTGCTGCAGTGAACAACATAGGACCAGGGTCAAAAACGAGGAGTCAGGACACAGACTGTTGGGCTCACATCCTTGCTCTGAGACTTGATTGCAAGAGTTACTCAACCTCTATAGACTACTTACAAAGTGACTCTAATATGGTTTATGCTTTCTCCTAGTCCATTTGCCATTGGTATAACAAAATACCCAAGACCAGGTGATTTATAAAGAATTGAGGTTTATTTAGCCTACTGTCTGGAGGATGGGAAGTTTGAGAGCATGGCACTAGATCTGGCGAGAACCTCCCTGCTGTGTTATAGCATGAGGAAGGGCACCCCATGGACAGACAGAGCAACTGTACACACTCTCTTCTTCATCTTATGAGCCTCTGATGCCATCATAGAAGATTTGCCCTCATGATCTTATCCAAGCTAACCACCTCCCCAAATCCCATCTTCAAGTCTAACATGAATTTGGAGATTTAGTTTCCAGCACATGAAGTTCTGGGCAACACATTCAAGCCACAATTTCTCAACTGCAATAAGATCATGATATCTGAGGGCATGTTTTGAGGGTTTAAATATATATACGAACAGTGCCTGGCACAAAGTGAGCACTGAACAGCCCTTATAGGTGGCAGTGTTTCATGACAGGGCATATCCAAAGGGTTCTGACCCGAAGTGGTGACTACTTGCTTGGGAGATGCTTTAACTCAACAGCAAATCCCACTGAAGGAAACAAGTCTAGAGGTTAGAACACAGATAAAGGAGGTTAAGGGTCCAGGTAACAACTGTGTGACCTAGAGGAGGAGCCATGAAGACAAAAGAAGGGGTAGATTCAAGACACCTTTGTGCATAGCTCATAGCTCTGCACCTGACTGAGGAGAAGACAGGAAGGAAGGAAGAGATAAACATGACCTTAGACTCCAAGGTTCCAATATAATGCCAATACCAGTGCCATCAACAGAAGTGGGAGAGTCAAAGGAAGAAGTGGGCTTCAGAAGGACATGCCAAGTTTAAGGGTGACTTAATGATATCCAGGCAGAAATTTCTAACTACAAATAGATAAAGGTGTGAACTTGAGGGGTGAACTTGGACACAGAGTGTACACGGGGATACTCTGGCTGCCAGGACTCACTCCTCCTCTGTGGTAAGAGCACCCCAATGGGGCCCCTGGATCCCATTCCTGGGGTGGGGAAGGTTCTTTCATCAGGTTTCCTGCCCACCCCTAACAGGATACAGGTCTTTGACCCACATCACACTAACGAAATGTTCCTGCCCTGAATGTGGACCACAAGCATAGTGACCCAAAGGTGAAACACTGCTTCCAGCAGTCATATCCACGCCACACAGCTGAGCACTCCGCCTCTGGGACTCTTCCCTCTCCCAGAGGGCCTGATTCTTTAGGCTTCCCTAATCCATGTGCTCCTCCCTGGTCTTCTCTTACATGCCCTTTTTGAGTCATCTCAGGTTGGCTGCTGTTAGTGGCAACCAAAGAACTCACAATGACATGGGAGGCTTCTGCATCAAGGTAACAGCACGAGAAACCGGGAGCCACTGTGGAACGGAACGCCCAGGGATGAGGTACAGAAAGAAAAACCTGAACAAGGGCAGGGTGACAGGAAGCAGGAAGTGACCGTGACTGACTAGAAGTCAGACGAACAGCCCCGCACTGCTAACTCAGTGACTCTGGACTATCCCTCGAAGCTCCACCTTGTGCCTAAAAGGAACAATAGCCCCTCCACATCACGGAACTACTGTACACATCAAGAGATGGCATCCACCTTTTTCCTGGCACACAGTAGGTGCTTCATACACGCTAGTTTGTTGGTCGTCCTTCCAGCTCCATCCTCCTCCTGTATTCTGCAAGAGTGGCTGTTTCGGGAAAACAAACTGCCAAAAAGATCGCTTATGTGTTGGTGTTTATGGGGTAGTAAAAATAGGCCCTTTTTACAGGATGAAAACATTTGAGCATCATTAAAGTAATGGAAAAGAAAGTGGTCCTCATGTTTTCTATTCCAGTTACAAATAAATCTAGCTATATGGCTTTCCTATGTCCTCAAAACAAAAATAACTTTAAAATGAAAAATCATTCTGAGTTCGGCAGAGGACGGCAACTTTCCTTCTCGGAAATGGAAAATAAAGTTTCATGCCGGATAATCACGACAGCTCTGCTCTCTACCTTCAAGTGCGTGCAGCCAGGCCTCCACAGGCAGCCAGATTTTCTGAGTGCAAATTTCAGCACAAACTTTGACCTGACAGGCAGACAGAGAAAAAGATGTTTTTTGCCTTCTTCAGGTCCAAGTAGGAGCTGCTTAAACTCCTCCCTCTGGCTAACAGCCATACCCTGGGCATCCTGTGGAATTCCATGGCCCAACCATGCCAGGCGCAGTAAGAGACAGGAAGTAGCTGGGGTGCCCAAGGACAGTGAGTCAGAGGGGCAGAGAGCCAGGGATCTGGCTGATTGATTGGCAGGAACAGTCAGGTAGGGCCTTGTCAGCAACACAGGAGTCTAGATTTTGTTCTCAGTGTGAAAAGAAGCCACTGAAGCAATGTAGGAAGGAGCATGGCAATCTGATGCTCTTTCTGAAGAGATCTGGCTGCACAGTAGCTACCTGGAGATGCGGCTCAGTGGTAGAGCATTTGCCTACAGTGACAAGGGCCTGGGTTCAATTCCCAGAGCTGCTCTGAATAAAAAAGAAGACAGAAGTTGGGAGACCAATTATGGATGCTTTCACTTCGTACTGAAGTTATGAAAAAAGTTATTGGCAGGCCTTCTTGGCTTAAATAATCTGAAGGTTACCTTACAGGGGAGATTGGGGGTGGTACATTGCAGTAAGGAACAAAGGTTCTGGGGCAGTGCTTTGCAAATGAGAGTGGTTTTGCTTGTTGGGGGTCATTTGGCAATGTCTGCAGACCTTTTTTTCTATTATCACAAGTGGTGACAGCCCCTGGCATCTACCGGGTGGAGGGCTCAATGCTACAATAGTCAAGGCAGCCTTCCCAACAAAGAATTAGCTACTCAAAATGTCAAAATTGGACCAGGCATGATGGTTTACACCAGTAATCGTTGGATTTGGGAGGCTGAGGCAGGAGGATCATGAGATTGAGCCCAGCCTGGACTACATAGTGAGGGCCTATCTCAAAAACAAACCAACCAAAAAAAAAAAAAAAAAAAAAAAGTCAAAAGTATTAAGATTAAGAAACCCTGGTGGAGAGAGGCATTTCTAGATTTGGGTTCTGGAGCTCCCATTTACTAAATGTGTAGGTTGGGGCAACTTACTAAATCTCTCTGTGATCTTTCTCTTTCTTAAGCTCAATGACTTCCTGCTACAAAGGGACTGAAGGGGAAAACCAAAGCCAGTTGGAAGACCAATGTCTGGACCTAGAATGTTCCCAAAGTCCCACGTATGAAAGATTTTGTCTCAGCTTGGTGCTATTAAGGATGGAACCTTGAGGTGGGGCCTGGTGGAGCTCTTCGGTCACTAGGGTGTCCTCTCAAAGGTGACTGCAGGGACCCAGCTACTTCCTATGTCTTTCTTCTATTTCCCAGCTACCATGACATGAGCAGCTTATTCCATCCTAGGCTCTGGGCTCTGATGTTCTGCCTCGCCAGGAGCTCAAAAGCAAAGGATCCATCTAATCACAGACCAAAACCTCCAAAACCTTTCCTCTTTCTAAGCGGACTATTTTAGGTGTTTTATTATAGTAATGGGAAGCTAATGCAGCTGTCTGTCCATCTCCTTTCCAGGTGGGAAGAAGTCCCTGGTATATTCGGGGAGAGAGGAAGGGGAAAACAGTTCAAGAGGTCTTTCCTCTACAGTAGCACAAGAGGGACCACCTGTCCCTAAATCTCCTCTCCCTCGGCAGTGACTAAGACGATATGCATCACTTGTAAGCACACTGGATTTGGAGCAGACAGAACCAGGTTTGGTTGGTTCTATTTCCACCCTCGTAGAGGATGATTCACTCCCAACAACTTACTTAACTGCAATCTCCCATAACTATAGAAAATGAGCTATCCTCACAAATATTACAGCACCATGACTATTAATTCAAGAGTCTATCGAGTGTCTGCCATGTTCCAGGGAATAAAATGAGTCACAAAAAGCACCAAGCTAGATGCTTGGAACACAAGAAATGTTCAGCAAATAGTATCTTAATGTTTTTTATTTCAACATGTGTTCCCTTAAACATGTGGAGTATACAGTATGGTGGGCCTGTATTTACCCGCTCAATACTCTATTCCTTGGGGAAGCAAGTGGTGCTGACTCTAGTCCTTCTTGGCCCATGTTCACCCCACAGGCCTGTGACCATGTTGCCCGTCCTTCTGGTCACATGCCCAGGAATGGACCTGTGAACCAACCTGGGACCATCAGACTCTGCCCTGGGATTTTTCTGGAATGCCAGGCTCTACAGAGAGGATTTGAGAGACACCCCTCACTGCCATATGGGAGAGCCAGTGTGAGAATAAGGCCAAACAGAGACAAAGGCTTAGAAACATTTGAGCCCTTGGATCTAGCCCTACCTGACAATTCTTTAATCCTTGGACTTAGTAAAAGCCAAAAGATGCCTTTCATACTGTATCCTTAAAATGTACCAATAAACTCAATTAAAGCTGAAAAAAAAAGATGCCTTTCTCTTAAACTGGATCCCCCAAAATGGAATCAAATTAAATTTCTGTCAACTAAAAGGATCTGGATAAAATTGATGGAAAAAAATACTGTTTGTTTGTTTGTTGTTTATTTTCTAAGACAGGGTCTTGCTCTGTCAAGGCTGGCCTCGAACTAACTATGTAACCCAGGCTGGCCTCGTTCCCATGGCAATCCTCCTGCCTCAGCCTCCAGAGTACTAGGATTATAGGTGTGTGCCACCATGCCCAGCATGGAAATCACTGTTAATAAAAGAAAAACAATAAGAGAATGATTAAGCAGCCAGGCATGATGGCTCATGCAACCCAGAGACCATGGAGAGTGCGTTCTCCCAGGTTTTGTTGGTATGATCACCAGCTTTGTTTCATTTGTGTGTTTTGAGGTTCCCTGAGGTAATCCTTTTCAAAACTGAAAAAAGGCTGGAATCCTGACTCTGCCCCTTCCCTTACCTGTGCAGTTTCAAGATTACCTAACCTTTCTGATATATAGGACATATACAGTCATGGGCTCCTTTTCCTAAAGTTCCACATTGACATTTTAAAACAGAAAAGCTGGGCATGGTGGTGCACACCTGTAATGACTCAGGAAGCAGAGGCAGGGGGCTTGCTTCAAGTTTGAGGCCACCCTGAGCTATACAGTGAGTTCAAAGCCAGCCTAAACTATATACAAAGACCCTGTCTCAACAAGAAAGAAGGAAAGAAAAAGAAAGAAAGAAAGAAAGAAAGAAAGAAAGAAAGAAAGAAAGAAAGAAAGAAAGAAAGAAAGAAAGAAAGAAAGAAAACATCTTTCCAAAAAAGAGTCACTTGGGAGGCTGAGGCAGGAGGATCACCACAAGTTTGAGGCCAGCCTAGGCTACCTAGTGAGTTCAAGGCCAGCCTGAAATACACAGCAAGATCCTGTCTCAATAAAGCAATAAAATAAAATAGAATCAGAAAGAGAACAGCTGGTTTATGTCAACAAGTTCAAGCAAGAACAAAAGGCAGAGCTTCCAGAGACATTCCTTCTCTATTAATCACAACGATGAGCTCCAAGAAAATCATGAAGGGATGGGAAGGTAATGGTTGAGAGACCTAACTATTTTCCAAGGGTTTTTTAATTTATTCAGGAGATTAGTTCAAGTGTCCTGAGTTAAAGCAACACACTGCCTGCCTCACAAGCACAAGGTCCTGAGTTCAATCCCCAGTACCAAAAATCTTAGATTTTATTTAATTTAAAAATAAAATAAAACAACAACAGAATGATAAAGCAACCCAGCATGGTAGCACACACCTATGATCCCATCCCTATGGGAGGCTGAGTCAGGAGGATTGCCACAAGTTCAAGGCCAGCCTGATCCACATAGTAACACCCTGTCACAAAGAAACCAAAAGAAAAGAATGACAAAGCAGTTCTTGGAGCTATACCTGGATCAGTTATGAGATATATCAAAAGGGATGTGTTACTGATTAGTTACCAAAGCTTATGAAACACCTTTCTAAATTACAGCAGGCCGGGCTGGGGACACCACTCAGTGGCGCCACACCTGCCTGGCAAACACAAGGTCTTGAGTTTGATCCCGGGTATGGAAAAAACAATTTTTATAGCAGGTTATTCACAGGTATTGTTATAGCTGCTCACTCATGATAATAATAACTTCCATTCACTTCTACTTTCTTAAGTGGGAGATAAAGGGGTCATATTAAAGCATAAGGGCCATTATTGGTTTTTATTTAGCAAAGCCCATAAAGAAAATAGCTGATGTCACAATTCACCGTGGCCATTACAGATTATTGTATTTGCCTCTTTCCAAAGGTCTGGAGTTTCATCATCACCGGAAATTCTAAATGCACAGTGTAAAAATCATCCACCCTGGGAAATGAGAGAAAAGGTTAGGAATTGCTGCTCCGTGGGGTACCTAACAGAAAAGGCCCAGTAAAGTTGAAGTGGCACCATCTGGAAATAAGTTAGGGCCCTCATGGCCTCAGACGGCCAGACTAGGCAAAGCCTATACACAGAAAGAAACACTTTTTCTCCGAGTCTGGGCCCTGTTCACTATCTCACTGGAGTTACAGAGGATGCGAAATACTGCAGTGGGAGGAAATGCCTGTCTAAAAGAAACAAGAGCTAAAAGAAAGCAGCAGCATGCTCTCTATACACTCTCTGTATAGCCAGAATATCCAGGAATTTAAGGAGTTGAGTAAATATTCAAAGGGAAAAAAACAAAACCAGAAAATTCAGTACAATGCCTTGTTCTGAGAGTGACCGACCTTCTCAGACACCAGCCCTCGGGAAGAGCCCTCCAAGTCCTCGTGGACACGGTCCAGTAACCAGAGCAGGAATTCCAGGGCATCGTGTTGGGAATTGCCTTGGAACTGGGAGCCATACTTGGAAACAGCATTCTGAAAGGAAATAAAGAAAAACAGAGGTCATTCGGCCCTGCATACAAAGGAAAGACGTGAAGTCCTACAGGTACAAAGCTACCAAGTAATCATCACAAGGGATTAACAATGCACAAGTGACCTGGGGTAGCAAAGCTCTTTCCTGCTGAAGACCCGCTGCAAGTGGTCTGAGCATTCTCAGTGTAGGATCAGCCCCTTTTTTTGCAGAAAGTCTACCAATATGCGCTTATCTGTCAAAGTCCCCAGGGCTGTCTGCTGAATATGTCTGTGCTGGTGACCATCTGGTCTCCTTGGAGCTCCTCCCACACTGCAGTTGCCTCCCCTCCATCGGTCTCTCCCCATGCTCTCTCTCCAGTCACCCCCACAGCAGTGCACGGCTTCCAGGCCCTACTCTCTCCCTCACTGATCCCACTCACACCGTGGCTCCCATTCTCTGGCGAGGACCATGCTTGCTGCATACAATGTATGTACTCCTTTATCACCCCTTTCAGATACGTATGAAAATTTAAGAATATAAAATTCTTGATCGTGAAATGGCTCAGTCAGGCCTACACGTAGAGCTGGGGTACAACAGTGAAGAAAACAAGCTAAGCTTGGTAGTGCACACCTGTAATCCCAGCACTAGGGAGGGAGGCTGAAGCAGGAAGTTCACAACATTGAGGCCAGCCTGAACTGCATAACAAGACCCTGTTTCAAAACAGACCGACCAGATCAGAGCCAGGGATTTAGCTCAGTGGGTGACACCACCTGCCTCACAAGGACAGCTCAATCCTCCGTACCAAAAACAAAAACAAAAAAACAGTCAAGATCCTCTGCCCTTGTGGCCCACTGCTCTTTTTTGGACTGTCCTTTTGTTAAATTATATAACAACTCTGCAATCTTTTGAGTAAAATGCATATTCCAGCTTTTGAAAAGCTTCTTTCAAAGGGTAATGTATATATGTGCTATATTTTTTAAAGAATTCAAAATATAAAGTAGAACAATAACAAAGTCTTCCTTCTGCCCAGTCTCCAGCCCCCTCTGGTCCCTCCCCAGGAGATGGCTGGCCTCAGGTGTTCCTTTGCATCATTCCAGGGACTTTTGCTATGGGTGTGCAAGAACACAAGCGACCGAATGGAAGCAGGCCCCCATCTGGGTGTGCACCATGGCTGTGTCCCTCTCTGAGCCCGTGGGGCAAAGTCTCCAGCCTCAGCCCAGGCTCAAGTCTGCTCTCTGCTCACACCTGCCAAAGGGACCCTGCAAAGGCAGAGGCCAGGACCGTGTCAGTGCCACTTCAGTCAGAAGGGCTCAGCTCCTGTCCTTTAACTCTTCCCTTGAGATTTAAAGGAAAGGTTTGGATGAAACAAAGCAAAATTCAAAGTCTAATTAATTGAAGTGTTTGTTCTCAGTCTTTATTCTGATTACATTTGTCTGAATTCCTCCCCTATACTTCTCTGCACTTTGACCTCCAAATAGAGCTGGCTGCCTGATTTAACAAGTAAAAATGGAGACAAAGAAAGAAAAGTAGGAAACAAAGGAACTTAAGGTGTAGCTCAATGGTAGAGTACTTGCCTAGCATGCAGAAGGCCCTTCGTTTGATTCTCAGCACTGCAAAAAAGTTATCAAAAGAAAGGATGCCAGTTAAATTTGAATTTCAAATAAACAATGAATGATGATTTTAGTAGGAATAAACATATCCTGTGCAATATTGAAATATACTTATACTGAAAAATTACTCAGGCCAGGTACAGTGATACCAATGAATCCACACTCCGGGAGGCTCAAGCTGAGAATCGCAAGTGTGAGCCTGGTCTGGGCAACTTAGTGACTTATAGAGATCCTGTCTCAAAATAAAAAGTAAGAAAAGAAAAACGTGGGGATGTAGTTTGGTGTGAAGGGCCTGGGTTTGATCCATAATACCAAACAATTATAATTACTCATCTGCAATTAAAATCAACTGGGCATCCTCTATTTTATTTAGCAACAGTAGCCCCAAAGTACGGTCAAACCCAGATCCCACTACTAACATTCTCTTCCTTTCTTTATTTTAATGTAAAACAAGTATCTATTAATAAAATATAAAAGCCATCCTATGAAAAAATAATTTTCATAACAAAAATAGAGAATAATGGTAGTAAATACACTGTGTATCATTATCCTAAAGAAATATATTTTCATTTACTAATTTCTCAACTCATTTTCTAATAATACTACACCTTTTTGAATAAAACATCTTAATTATTAACTATCTCACATTTGGTGTAATTTTGAACAATTTTTTTTCCTATTCCACAACATCTATAGTACATTTTGATTCTTACTTACACTTTCAGTTTCTCACACCAGAGAGCAAATGCAAAATTTACACGTGTGTTCAATTTATTTCACTTAAGAATATGTTTTTTAAAAAGACTATGGTTTCAAGGCACATCTATTTACTTAGAAATGTCTCAAGTTTATCCTTATGACTGAGTAGAACTCCATTATATTTTTAAAAATCACATCTTTTTTTATCCATTCGTTGGTTGATGGGCGTTTGAGTTGTTTCCAAGATGTGCCATTACGCACTGTGCCATTATAAATATGGGTACACATATATCACTGTGGTATGATGCTCTTAATTCTTTTGGAAAGATACTCAGCAGGGAATAGCTGGTTCAAATTGTACTTCTAATCCTAGTTCTTTGAGGAATCTCCACACCGATTTCCACAGCGGTTGCACCAGTCTGCACCCCCACCAACAGTGGAGATGGGTTCCTTTTTACCCACAGCCTCACTAGCATACAGTGGAGAAGGGTTCCTTTTTACCCACAGCCTCACTAGCATTTGTTGTTGGTTATTTCTTGATAGCAGCCACTCTTTCTGGATCGAGATGGAATCTCAGCATTGTTTTAATTTGCACCTCTCAAATGACCAGTGATGTTGAACATTTTTTCATGTATTTATTTGTCATTTCTACTTCTTCATCTGAGAAGTATCTATTCATCTCAGGTGCCCATTTTTGTATTGGGTCCTTAAATTTTTTTTGCAGCAGGGGGGGCTTTTTCCCCCCCAGTTCTTTATATGTTCTAGATATTAGGCCTTTGAGGAGCCACTGGCTAAAAATTTTTCAAGCTCTTTGGGTTGTCTTTTTATTCTGGTTTTTCTTGCTGTGCAAAAGTTTTTTTTAATAAAATGAGGGCCCGTTTTTTTTGTAGTATTTTCCATGTGGTCTGGGCTTTGTTCATGAAGTCTCTGCCTACTCCTATGTCCTCAAGCATCCTACCTATTCTCTCTTCTAGCAGATTTAGAGTTTCTGCAACATTCTCTTCCAAGTGAACAACCATCCCTCCAAATTAAGTCTCTAAAATCAGCACTTCTTCCGAATGTACATGTCATCCCTCAGCTTCTCCCTCAAATCAACAGCTGTCATGGCAGCTATCAGGCTGTCTGGGTCCTGAATTCCAAAATGTCTCTACCCTTCCCTCACCCTTAGTCTCACTCCCACCATAGATCGGGCTCCTGATGACCCAGACCATAATACCGACCTCAGGAGAAGCCCTGCCCCTGCCAGCCCATGGTGCCCCCTGCAGCCCAGTGGATGCTCCCAACCCTTCCTCACTCTTCTGTTCATCACCCCATAGTCCCAACTCCTCTGGTCCTCTGGTGGCCCCCAACCCACATCTCCTGTTGTCTCCTCCCTGTTTTAAAGCTCCAAGTACACATACAAGTCACATAGGTCTTCAAATGCTTTCCTGTTTCTACAATGTAGTATTTACACTTGTTCTCCCTTTTATGTGAAAGCCATTCACCTCCAGCTAATCATAATAATCTTTTAAAATTGATCATCTCCATCTTATCCCGGCCTGGCTATCAGACAACAAAAGAACTGGACTGCAGGTAAGTTAGGACCTTAAAAATGTCCCTCAATGTAAACACAGCAATTCCACTTTGGAGGACTTAGCTTAAGGAAATGACTGCTATAAGCAAGGATATCTCCTTGTATAGCAAAGTTATTTGATAACTGATGGGAAAACTGATGGCACACTTACAGCAGATGGCCTTAAAAATTAGGAATGAAGAAATACTAATGAGAGAAAAAAATTCTCCTATAGTAAAAGGAAAACATACCTCGCTGAAGATATAGCTAAGTGGTAAAATGTAAACTTACTATGTGCAAGACCCTGGATTCAACCCCTAGTGCCAAAGAAGGAGAAAAAAAGAGATAAGATTGCTTTTCAGAAATATTTATAAATAGATAAAATACAGTATCTGAAAATATATGGTAAACTAGTAACAAATAGAATGATGGGGTCATAGACAATTTTTTGTCATTTCATTTGTACAGTGGGTATTTTTCTTTATTGGTCTTTTCTCAATTATAAAGTTTCTAACGGGCACTTTCCAGAATTTATATATGATTCTCAGCCCATTGAAATGTGACAAGAACTGCATTAAGGCAATACTCAGGAAAGATATTTGGTATTTTTACCCTGCAAAATGACATTTTGTACACATGCTTTCCATCTGAAATATTAATAACTTTTAACACATTTCTTATTAAAAGTGTTATTAGTTGTAGAATTTCTGGTTGTTTCGATGCGTGAAATCCAATTTTTCCAAATTGTTACTGCTTTTGACTTCCTATCTTATATTTGACCCCATGAATATGACCAATAATTCTAAAGTATAGATTTCTAGACTCATTTAGCAATTTTGTTTAATTTGATATTTTTGTTCCATTTCCCTTTTACATCTTACTATTTTTCAGAACTTGTAAAACTAAGAGTGATGAAAAAGGAATCCTTGTTTTTTAAAAAGCAATGCCTCTAGTACATCACTGTAGATCTAAAATTGATTTTAAGCACATAAGCTATGTTCCAGATGGCTTAAATCCTTAATATAACTGTGGAAAAGCTAGAAATATGCAAAATAGAATATTTATCAAAAGGAATAACATAAATGAATCTAAAGCTTACAATGTCAGGTAGGGAGGTAGAAGATCATTCAGAGAAAACACTTGTAGCAAAGATGGCAAGGGTTGAAGGACCTTAAGAAACGAACATTAAGACCAAAGCAGATGGACAAACATACAGCATGAAGAGACAATTCCAAGAACAAAATAGTCAAGGAACACAGAAAATCTTCCACCTTGCTCCTAAACAAAGAAATAAAAATAAAAACAAGATGTTATTGCTTTTTGTTCAACAAATTACTAAGTGGTAGAGAGTTAATATGTAGCAGAATGACTGTAAGTAATAATAATGTATTATATACTTGAGAATTACAAAGAGAATAGATCCTAATTGTTCTCATCACAAAATATCCTAAGTTTGTGACTTACTGGATATGTTAATTGCTTGAATCAATTATTTTACCATGTAAATGTATATCAAACACCATCACATATACTATATAGTTTTTATTTGTCAGTTACAACCTTCATAGAGCTGGAGAAAAATTGGTGAGACAGAAAAAGAGTCAACATCCAAGAAATTATACCACACTGATGTATCCAAAAACAGTTTTTGGGAAAAAAAATGTCAATATGGGTAGTAAAAATAATAAAACCCAATAAAGTTGATTTAAATTGGTTACACAGGTATACCCATGAATTCTGCACTTAAAATGAGTACACATCACTATATTTAATTTATATCTCAATAAATTTGATTTCAAAAGTAAAAACAGATTTGAGTCATATCTTTGCTTAGACTACATAATAGCCCTTGTAGAAATTAAGTTTGTGGAAATAATCAGAGCTGAGAATAAGGATTTAAACATGAGAAATATCAATACAGTGTGATCAATGGAAAGTCATACAATAGTACATCAGTGTATCCCTAGGGGACTGCTTTATTTCATGATATACACAATCATTAAAAATCAAGTTTTTCAGGGTAGGAGTTGCAGATCAGTGGTAGAGTATTTACCTAGCATTCTTGAGGCCCTGGGTCCAACCCCAACACCTCAAAAAAGATTAATAATAATAATAACCAAGTTTTGTAGAATATTTCGGTGACCAGGAAAAAGTCCTATAACAATACTTAAATGAAAAAGGTAAAATACAAAACTAGAATTTCCAATTGTATATACTTTGAAATACATCAATATGTTTATGATGGTTCTTTACAGGGGGTGGAATTACAGATCTTTGTTGTACACTTTCCAACTTTATTCAATACATATACTTAACTATATCATTAGAAAAGCATGGGATAATATTTAATATTGTAGGGAGAAGTGTTTTAATGAATTTAATTCATCTGTTGTGTTTGAAACAGAGTGGTCCTAACATCAGTGAGAAGCTGAGGGGACCTGGGCTCAGGCAGGAGGCTTTCCACAAACCCAACCCCACTGCAGCCATCTTAACATCCTTCACATTTCTTTAACAAGCCAACTCCCCTGCCTCTCTTTCCCCAGTTTTGATAAAACATAGAATTTTATCAATTCACTTGGCAGAGGGACATAGCCCTGCCCCACTCCGTGTTGGCAGCTTCAGTTCCCAGGGCGGCTGGAATGTGCTTTCCTAGCTTTAGTTAATACCTCATCCTTCAAAACCCCACTGAGAGGAGGGTTACCTCTCTGAGAAAGCTTACCTTGCTCCCCCATCAAATCACATCCTTCTGTCACTCTTGTCACAACACCTTGTGTTCTTCCCTCCTGCCATGCCACCAGTTCTAATCATGAGGTTGTTTCCTTAAGATCTATGTCTCACTCTACAGTAAACTTCTGGAGAGCAGCTGCAGGACCTGAGTTGGTGCCCGTTCCTCACCACACATTTTGTTTCCAATTGCATGTCTAGACATTCAATAACTATGTGTGGAATGAATGTTTCATCATCAGTAAAATAAAGAGCCACAAATAAATAAATAAAATAAAATAAAGTCGAACACCTAGATTTCAATTCTTAATGCATAAAGGCCCTGTCTCTGGAATCCGCTACTCAACCCCCCAAGGCTGGTTACATGAAAGTCCCAGAAAACCCCCTAGATTACATCTCCCTTATTAACATATTAACAACAATTATCCTTAATTCCCCAAGGCTCACTGGGGAATCCCAGGCCCTTGGTATTTGACAGCTGAAGTGAGAGAGAGGAAATCGTAGTGAGTCACTGAAGATGATTACTAATTTGAGTTTTTTCCAAACTACTCCATCTCTCTTGTCACTGCTGTAATTGGGTGGGAATACGTAGGGCAAGGGATTACTCAAAGATTACCTCCCTCCTAGGTCTTTCTTTGGAGGCAAGGGGTGTAATTTTAGAATAATGAATACTTCCCAGGGACCAGGCAGTGTTTTAAATTCTCACATCAACCCTATAATAATATATGTGCCCTTGTGGTCCCATTTCACAGATGAGAAAAATTGAGGCACAAAGAAATATAGTAATTTGCTCAAGGTCACAAGGTCCTAGCCACTTTGCTCTTAATCAATATATACTGCCACTCGTATTTAAAGGGCAACTATTGCCAAAAACAGACATTTATGACACTCATGTTGACAGCTGCAGAATGGGGCTTCTTCACTAATGGAAGCACGGGAAAGAAGGTGGAGGTTGGCATCCTTGCAGGTCACATGGCCAAGCCCGCCTTCTGGGGCTGAAACTCAAGAGCAGTGATGCTTGTGGAATGAACACGGACAGGTTCCCCTCCCCCAAGAACAACAATCACTATTATGTGAGGAGCTTCAGCTCTCTGCCCAGAGCTGCAGTTTTCAGCAGGAAGCAAGCCACGGACATCAATTATCAGGAACTCTTTTATCCAATGGGGACCTTCAGATCCACACCCCACGTTAACCCCAAGTGAAGCAATACACACAATTTAACAAGTCTCAGGAACTCCCAGCACCCTGAGCAAGTGATTGCGATCTTGCAGACAATAAACGTCCAACTCATGCCAACACATTGTAGGGGATTTACTGTGCATTAAACAAAATAATAGCTGGGCATGGTGGCTCATGCCTGTAATCCCAGCACTCAGGAGGCTGAGACAGGAGAATTGCCAAGAGTTTGAGACCAGCCTGGCTCTATAGTGAGTTCAAGGCCAACCTGAACTACATAGTAAGAGTCTGTCTCAAAAAAAAAAAAAAAAATTGACATCTCCAAAATAGCACATCCACTACCTTTTCTCTGGCATTCAGCACAGGACCTGTCCCACGGGTTCTCAGCGTCCATTGGGCTCAAAATAAAATCCAGTCTTTACTATGCTCGCTTCAGCAGCATAAATACTAAAATCCAGTCTTTACCACTGCCCACAGGCCGTCCTGATCTCTCCTCGTCTACCTCCTGACCTCCAGCGACGCTGGTTTTCTGTCCATGCCTCTGATACTCAGCTCCTTCGGGCCTACACAGGGTCGCTCTGCCTGGATTATTCCTAGATTTGGGCTCGGCTGCGTCCCGCTTAATCTTCAAAACGTGAGCATCACCTCCTTTCCCTGAGACTTCCAGCGATTCCCCACCTCTAACCTTTCACACTGGAAGCTGTAACGAACCCTGAAGTTAAAGCCCAGGCACACACTAAACCTATCAGCTTTTTACGCTTCTGCTCAAAATACCCGAAAGAAATTAAGCGATTAAATACACCAATTAAGCTTGACGCCTCGCTTAGAAAGCAAAAGCGGTATCCCGAGGAGGCCATGGTAAATGACCATCCACGGAGGGCCGCGAGAAAACCCTTTCCCGGAGGTGCACACACTTTCCACGAAGCGAAAGCAGAAGGGAGCGCGGGGCGCTGCCTACCTTGAACTCTGCGGAAAGTTGGGGCGTGTACTCGCGGGTCCAGAGCGCGCGCACCAGCGCCGCCAGCTGCTCGGTGAC